AAGAAATACGCCGCCAAGGAAGTGCTAGTAGACAGGACGGCCGCCAACAATGGTCTGCTGAATGGCAGGCGCTCCAAGTTTGAGGATGGCAAGAAGGATGGCCACTACGGCAGTGGACGTGTTTCCTCCAGCACGCAGAACAAGATCGCGCACGTTATCCCGGACAGCCAATCAGATATAGCGCTGCCTCCGCAAACCGACGAATTTCCTGATTATGTAAAGTGAGTATAGTTTTTTCTGTTCTTTTCGACAATCACTCATCCATCCATCTTACGTCTACAGAGAATATGCTATTATTAAGAACATTGAGCAGCGTCGCCGTTACAAAACGGATTTTAATAAACATTACGAGGAGTATAAGGAGCTGTATGGCGTCGTCAAACAAGTTTCAAATAGATTTACCCAACTCGAGGACAGACTCAAAACGGAGGATACATCTACTGAACAATATAAAGTAAGTCATTCTTATTTTTTTCTATTTATTATTAACTTTTCACTAAAATAGTACTTTTCGCGGTACACATTTAGAATTAATTGATCATCAAATACACATTTTAATGTAATTATATATTACCACTTCAACAAAATAATAATTAATGTTATGTCATAAGGATTTGCAACGACAGATACTGAGGGAGTATCAAGACACCAAAAATGACAGAGAAGCACAACGTGCTAAAAATCGGTTCCAGTACCTACATGACAAGCTGTCGCACATAAACCAACTCGTCTTTGATTACAATCAGATGTACACCGACCAGAGTGATATCAGGTACTGATAGTGGGCTGCGGCTTTTTGGTCAATGACATGTAACCGATCATCATATACGTTACGGACAACTACAATTACCACCAATGGACGACGACGCAACGGGACCATCTTTCTTTCACGAGTGCTTCATACGACACAATAATCAGTGGTGTTTTGTTTGATTGATTGGCAGCTACAAAACTAATCTCTCTATTAAGATATAAATCAAACAACTAGAGTCTATCCCATATATATGGCATATATTATGTATATTTTGATATGTAGTGTGTAATTAATTATTTTCGAGTGGGACCTGCTAAAGAATCAAGTTTTATTTTATTTATTTTTTCTAATTTTATTAATGATTATTAAAACTACTATTTTTTATTATTATGTTTGTATTATTTACGAAGTGGACTTAATCAGTGCATTTTTGTTTTGTTTCCGAATATGGGGTATATGGAGTAGTGAGTCGTCTCTGACCATTTCGTTTCAATAGGTCTTCCATCTGGGCGTTGCAAAATTCTTTGCCATCCGGTTTGATTTTCGACGTGACTCTTGTAGTCTTTGAACTTTTCGATAACTTCGTCCTTGTTACTTAGGAAGTAGACGTCTGTCCAACGACTGTATTCTTCTGTGAACGTCAGGAATTATCGAGCTCCTCCATGAGAGGCAGCTTAACGTTGCCTTGTTCGTCCTTGATGACAGCACCTTGTCGTTGGAATTTAACAGTGTGGTCACTTTCCACTAGCTTTGTGACATATAATAGAGTTTCGAAAAGTTATCTGAATTTGCAAATATCTTGACATTCCCTATGGCTCGGATGGGTGGATGGATTTTATTGATATTTGTAAATAAGGATTTATTTTTGCATAGGTGTGCTGCTGATACAAAGACTGAGGCTCTGGCTACCTGACTGGTAGGTACTTTAAGATCAAATACAATGATGAGGTGACCTGCCCATGACTGTAGTGTCCGGAGTTCCTCAGGGAAGCGTGGCTGGACCACTCTTATACCTAATCTTCACAGCAGACCTGCCAACATCGCAGCAGACCACTGTAGCCACATTCGCGGATGACACTGCGGTCTTGGTATCTCACAGGAATGCACCGATGGCATCGGCAATATGCGTCGTCAAACCTACCCCCGGTTGCCCTGAATGGCGGCATACTACCGCAAGTGGATGAAGCCAAATTCCTTGGAATGCATCTCGACAGAAGTCTAAGGTGGAAGAAGAATATAGCTACCAAAAGGAAACAGCACGGCCTGACGGTTAAAAAGTTACATTGGCTTCTGGGCAGAGATTGGGGTAAACGGAAAAAAACTCTCTCTTTATATTTTATCAGAAGGGCGACTAATAGCCAAATTGTTAAGTCGCCCTACTCACAATTTTGTGGGCGTTGGTTCGGATCCTGGTCAAGCCAGGCCCTTTATGAGCCCTCTCGGTGCTTGCAGAAATAGGGCCGTCGTTCATCGCAGATGGACAGTCAAATGAATGAGGTTCAGCATATGGACCTTCAGCCAATTCGGTGGACAATGACAGTGTTAAGGATAGCAGCAGATTCACAGTCAAAGGAAATAGTGGAATCGCAGAGCATCAATATACTACTGAAGTTAACCTAGAAGACGACAGCCAACCAACAAATTAAAATCAAAATCATCTTAAAGGTAACTATCCACCGGGAAAGATTATCTATTTAATGTCAACCGCGATCTTAAATATACTCAATGTTCACATTGATGAACAGATTGTGAATAAAATTATATGACATAAAATAAATGATGTATATGTTTATTTTACAATAGTCACAACATAAATCATGTAAATATAAATATGAATATGATGATGTTGTTTATTCTTCATTATATTGTTATAGAATCAAACTGTAAATATCAATATAAAGATTACTCCAGAAAATCGAGGTAAGATAAGACTCAAACAGCGCTGCCTGTGTTCGAGTCTTACCTTACAAGCAGGCCTCAGCGAGTGCAGCGGCTATGGGGTCCCCCTTGCTCCTGCACTGTACAGTATATATACAAACGACATAGCTGACATTAAATTAGATGGAAGCATATACATGTATGTTGACGACACATGTATTCTGTACGGATACAGGGAGGAGACTGCGTTGCAAACCAGCATTAACAACATCATAATTAAAGTACAAACATGGTACGATGCCAATCTATTAACAATAAACGAGACAAAAACACATTATATAATACTACAACAAAAAAATGCTAGAAAGATCCAACTAAAAATCACCACAAATAATATCAACTTAAACCAAGTGGAACAAGAAAGACACTTGGGAATACTATTTAACAACAAACTGGATTAGAACGGTAACATCAGCATACAAAAGAAGTGTTGCGATAATTGGCTGTGTAACAAAAATAAACAAATTTCTCCCGGCCAAGTACAAGGTGGCACTAAATCATAGTGTGTTTACCTCGAGTATGTGCTATGGTTTGGCGGTGTGGGGAAACACAAAAAAAGGAAAATATAAAAGCATTACAAAAGCAACAAACAAAGCTAAAAATAATAATGTTTCCAAATAGCCGTGACACACAAATACCGTATGTGGGGACACTGATAGAAGCACAGACAAACATATTAATACACAAAATAGTAAAAAAAATTAGTACCCAAAGCAACTTGAACAGGAGTTTGCTGGTGCAGGGCGTTATGTAATATAACAGGGTCCCAGAGGAAATAAGAATGAAAAATAACATCAACATATTCAAAATAAAAATGATGTAATGGATACAAAATCACAGATTGAAGACATAGAACAAGAAAGCAACAACAAACCCGCTCAAAATACCGGTTCCAAGGAGCGTGCCGAATGAACCATTGAGGGCCCCGCATTCTTATGCGAACCGGCAGGCACGAACGTGAGATTGCACCAAACATTTAGACTGCGCTTCGTTTTTATGTTCTCTTTAAGTTAGTTATTTTTTTTAAAATTATAAAACACTTGCACATCACGTCGCAGGGCTCAGCCAGTGAGTCTACCCATCAGCCGACAAAGAGGAAAAGGGGGAGACCCGCTACGAGTAGGATAAACAGTGGTGATAAGAGTGAAACCGGGTCGGAGTACGAGTTGAACGCGACTTCTAATTTCAAAAAGCCGCAGTCATTGGGTGTGAGGGGGGAAACTGAAAACAACAGAGACGACGATACTGAGCAACGAGAACCTGAGTGCGGAGAGCGTGAACGATATCAACACGAAACAAAAAGATGTAAAGCCGCCGCCGTTGATTCTGCTGGGTATAACGGTTATAACTGAAAACGACTATTAACACCAAGGCACAACACGGTTACTTCCTGAAGATGGGACGCCGTGAAAATCCTCCCGAAGACCTCCGAGACCTATACGGCCATCAATAAGATGCTGGAGACCCAGGGCACTGCCTTTCACACTTACCAGCTGAAAGAGCAGAGATGCTATAGAGTAGTGGTCAAAAATATCCACCCGTCGGTTGTTGTGAATCAATTAATATTAAAATAGAGGAGTTCAGTCACGAAGTGAAGAATATAGTTAACATCAAAAGCCGTCACACCAAAGAACCATTGCCGCTAGCCTTCCTGGACTGCTTTCAAACACCACGAGATTCGATGATGTGAACACCTGCTGGCTACGAGCGTGGTCGTGGAGGACTGGAATGCCCAAATAACCGTATCCGCAGTGTACAGTCGGCCGAAGCATTCCATCAGACAGTTTCAGGACTTTTTCGACACGCTGGACCTAAGGATCAAAGCTAGTGGTGACTAGAACGCCAAGCACCAACAGTGGGGATACAGACTCGCAACGCCTTGGGATAGGCAGTTACTGCGAACGTATTCCAACCCTTTCCTAACGAGACGAGACCATCGCTTGACGAGTGACATAAGACGAGCCATGGAGGAAAAGCAGTGGCACGCGCCACGCACGCAAATAAAGTGTGGCACGCGGGTTTGTTCTACAATATCAGGAGCACGCAGCTTCACATTTAATACCACATCTTAAAATCGTTTTCATCTAGTAGATTTTTGGTAAGGTAACGCAGCTGTACCCAATCTAATCGGGGGTGCCGCAGGGAAGCATATTAAGACAGTGTCGTCCATGTCATCCTGTTGAGGATCCGGTTGTTGCAGTGCGTGGACTCCAGCTTTGGGGAACAGCCAGCAATTCCAATATCGAGATTCTACGGACTCTGGTGCAGGCCACCTGGTAGGTGAGGAACGACACAATACACAGCAACTTCTACATGAACACTGTTAAGAATGTAAAACCATCTCAACAGTCTCGCGTTATCCCTCCTAGACAACAGTGGCATCCCCCACACAACACTCTCGACCTCCCCTTTAGAAACTAAAAGTTCGTTTTATTCGTGAATTACTGTAAATATCTTTTTGTTTGTGCTACTTTGTTATCCCAATAATTTATAGTTACATTTGAGTATGTTGGAAGGTTTCCTATGGGAAATTGTTCCGCTCCACGCTTATTCTATTTTGTTTTTTCTGTTTTTATTTTCTTTACTTTACTTATAACAATTCTTACACTACTATTTAACTATATCCAACTAACTAACTGAACTAACTTCTTGCCGGCGCACGATAATGCCACTGTTTACAGTTGCGCTTAAACACAGTCTAAATCAGACCACAAATAAATGGATGATCTCAACAATTAATATTTCCAATAAAAAACGTCTACAAAATGTAATTAATAAATTCCATTGAAACGTGAACAACGTTACTGGACTTCAGCTTTTCTTAATTCAAAACTAATACGGTTTCTATTTATCTGGCATTATGAAATTAAACACTTAATATTATGTCCAACACGTAATAGCACGGCGCTTCGGGTACATATGAAGATCCGTCCAAAATAGATTATTATTTTTCGTTTATTAACGACTTCGATCCGACTTTTCTCTCGTCATAATTTAAGTACATTTTTCCGCTTTATTTTAATAATTAAATTTCGAACTTTGTTAATAAAAATATCACTACACGGGTCTCACAAGTTTCTACTTGCGAGATCAGTGTAATAAGTAGTTTATGCTAAACTTGCAACGACCTGTTAGTATGAATCATAATACAATATGCGTTGAAATGTTGTTAAA